AAGAAAATACACTAACTCTTTACTAAATCACTATGACACTGAGTATCTTGTTGTAAGAAATCTGGAGGAAATGAGTCCCAGGGTTAATTTGAAGACTTAATGAATGATGTCCTCAATGGCACTATCTTGGAGTCACATTTCTTAGCTGCAGACATTCAAATCCACTCTAGTTAATTTAAGAAGGAAAGGACCTATTAAAGCATAGTAAATAGTTCATAGAGTTTCTTGGAAAGCCAGGAAACAGTCTTTTTAACCAGGAACAATGCAATTAGGGCAACGGCCTCTAGAGGACAATGCGCAATGAAACCACAGGGCCATTATTGATGAAGTGCGCCTATGATTACCACCTACCTTGCAGCAGCTATAATTCCAGAGCCCCACCTGAGCTGATTCCTGAGAACCAGATTCTTTCATCCCTGTGGATGCCAGGATATCAGCCATAGTGATCACATACACAATCCAAGTCTAACACCATTAAATCTACTTGATAAAACCAAGGTCACATGCCTCTAGCCCGGCTGCAATAGAATTTTTGATATGTAACTTTTAGAGTTTTGAAAGTGGGGCCACATGCTTACCTCAGGACCAGTTACTGGCAAAGGTTGTGATTCGTTCTTAAGGGCTGATATTTTCTGTCCATCAAAACTGAAATTTCCTGTCTGGTTGCAGTGGATCATGCCTGTAATGCCAGCATTTTGGGATGCAGAGGAGAGCAGATCACTTGAGGCCAGGAGTTTGAGACCAGCTGGCCAACATGGCAAAATCCCATGTCTGCTAAAAATACAAATATGTTAGCTAGGTATAGTGGCACATACCTGTAGTCCCAGCTACTTGGGAGGCTGAGGCACGAGAATTGCTTGAACCCGGGAGGTGGATGTTGCAGTGAGCCGAGATCATGCCACTGTACTCCAGTCTGGGTGACAGAGTGAGACTTTTAAAAAAAGAAAAAAAAAACCTGAAATTTTCTTAGTAAGAAAGGGATGAAGAGGAAGGTTATTGGATATGCAAACACTGTTTGTTAAATTCAAATAACTGGGTGCTAACAATGCCAGATACTGTTCTACTTGTTTGGAATACATCAGTAAACAAAATGAAAATTATTCTTGCCCTGAAGGACCTTATATTCCAGTTGTGTGTGTGTCGGTGGGGGGGGCAACAGATATTATTGATGAAGTATATGATATTGATAACATGTCATGCTACAATGTGATAAATGATTTGGAAAAGAGAAATATTAGAGCAGGGGACTGGAAGTATAGGGGTTGGAGATGGAGGAAGAATCAAGCTATTAAGCAGGTGTTCAGGAAGGACTTCTTGAAACGTGAGATCTCAGCGAAGGCTTGAAGGAGGAAAGGAAGAGAGCCGCATGACTATGTGAGGAGCAGCTCTCTGGGCTCTCTTGAAGGCCCTATGGGAGGAGTGCTGTGGCATATGAAAGGGACAAGAAGGAGGTCATTGTAGCTAGAGAGGAGCAAATGAGGGGAGAGTGATAGGAGATGAGCTCAGGGAAGGAGTGAGGAGCAGGATTAAGTGGGGCCTGAGGCTCTTTGAAGGACCCTAGTTTTTAAACTGAATGCAATGGAGAGTCACTGCAGGCTTTCGAGCAGAAGAGGAACATAATCTGAATGTTAAGAGGATCACTCTGACTGCTGTGTTGCCAATAGATGGTTGGAGGCAAGGGAAGAAACAGGGGCACCTATTAGGAAATGAACACAGAGACAAAGATGATAGAATCAGGGAGATAAAGTGGAGGGTGGCGAGCTGTGGTTGAGTTTTGCATGTGTTGTTAAGGCAGGGCCAGCAGATCCGCTGAGGGGAGGGATGTGAGCTGGGAAGGAAAGAGCACAGGTTTCTGTTGTGAGCAACTGAAAGGGTGGGGCTGTCAACAACTGTCATTGGCTGGGATGGGAAAGCTGTGATTTGTGGGGGATGGTGACTGCGTTCAATTTTGGAGAGGCGAGCTAAGAGGTATCTTATAGGCTGTTGGGTATGCTTACTATTTGGGTGAAAAGTATGGGTTACAGATATAAATGATCTAGAAACAGTAGCAGTTGGTGCCAACTTTTCTTTTAAATGAGAGGAGCAGTTTTTGTTTTTGTTTTTTTTTCTGCCTGGTACAAGGCCTCCAAACTAAGAAAATCATTTGATTCTTTCCAAAAGCAACTGTACTTTCAGACATTGAAATTGATTTGTATTTTGAGAGATCTAATCAAGATAAAGGAACTAAATTATAACAAAGAATTGTTAACAGCACTAAAGATCCTTCATATATTTGTTCTTTATTCTTTTGTCTTCCATCTGAGTTTCGAGGGGAGGCAGGATGTTGTAGTGTTAAGGGTGTGAGCTCTGGCATAAGACAGAGCAGGGTTAGAGTCCAGGTTCCACCGTGTAATAACTGTGTGGCCTGGGCAAATTATTTAACTTCTATGAACTTCAAGGTCGGGAGTATTTATAGCACCTACTGTCATTAATGCTTTTTAAATAATATTTTTACTTAGCACCTATCAGTATGCCTGGCAATTCATTCATTCAGTAGATAATGATGCCTACCTATCATGTGCCAGGCACTGTGCTAGGTAATGAACATACAACTATAAATAACACAGACTATCCTTGGCCTTCTGGACATTACTGTTCAGGAAGCAAGCAATTTTTCAAAGAAGAAACTGGAATGTCCAGTAAGCTTGTGAGAACCTGCTCACTCTCACTGATGTTTGTGGTAGGGTGGATGCAAATTAAACTCACAGTGAGATATCACTTCACATCCATTAGCATGGGAAAAAAAGTAATAATTCCAAAGTTTGTTGAGGGCAATGGTGGAAACAAGAGATCTTTTTCAGTGAAGGTAGAATTCAAATAGTGCAACCACTTCAGAGATCAACTTGACAATATTAGTGAAGTGGAATACACATGTCCTCTACCACCCAAAATTTCCACTGCAGGACTGTGCACCAGAGAAACTCTTACACATGCACTCAGGGTGACATTCACAGGGTATTCACTGCAGCACTTGTAGTGCTAGCAAAAAAGTGGAAGCAACCTAAATGTCCATCAGTGGGGGATTCGAACAACAGAATAATATTCAGAGGTTAAAAATGAATGGACTACATAGGTCAATGTGGAACGATTTCCAAAAATACAACAAAAAGTAAGTGGAAGATATATTATTATTTGTCTGATTAAAACATCCCACAAAATAGTGTATTATTATACAGTAAAACATTAAAATATACAAGGAAAGGAGGAAAAAGATGAATGCAACTGGAACGAGGAGGGAAGGTTTAGCTGCACCCGTGATGATTTATTTCTTAAAAAAAGAAACAAACATGACAAAATGTGCCTATTAAATCCAAGGACTTACACAAGTAGCTGATATTTTATGTATTTTTCTGTATGATTAAAATATTTCATAATCATACATTAAAAACTTCTTTTTTCTGTGGCAAAATATACATAATATGAAAGTTACCATTTTAACCATTTTAAGTGTGCAGTTCAGTAGTATTAAAGCACATTCACATTGTTGTATGCTATCACTATAATCCATCTCCAGAACTTCTTTCATCTTCCTAAACTAAATCTCTGCATCCATTAAACACTATTTCCCTGATATGGTTTGGCTCTGTGTCCCCACCCAACTCTCATCTTGTAGCTCCCATAATTCTAAAGTGTTGTGGGAGGGACCCAGTGGGAGATAATTAAATCACAAGGGTGGCTCTTCCTTGTGCTATTCTCATGATAGTGAGTGAGTCTCACAAGATCTGATGGTTTTTAAAAGCAGAAGCTTCCCTGCACAAGCTCTCTTTGCCTGCTGCCTCCATGTAAGATGTGATGTGCTCCTCCTTGCCTTCCACCATGATTGTGAGGCCTCCCTAGCCACGTGGAACTGTAAGTCCAATAAACCTCTTTCTTTTGTAAATTGTGCAGTCTCAGTTATGTCTTTATCGGCAGTGTGAAAACGGACTAATACGTTCCCCATTCCTCCCCCTTTCTAGACCCTGACAACAACCATTCTGCTTTGTGTCTGTATGAATTCAACTACTCTGCATATCTCGAATAAGTGGAATCATACTATATTTGTCCTTTTGTGACCGTTTTATTCACTTAGCATAATATCCTCAAGGTTCATCCACGTTGTATCATGTGTTAGAATTTCTTTCCTTCTTAAGGATGAATAATGTAGCATTGAATGTATATGCATAAAGAGATTTTGTTTATCCATTTATCTGTTGACAGACACTTGCACTGCTTCTTCCTTTTGGGTGACATAATTTCACATTTTGGGTGGCAAAATTAAACAATTCAAATAAAAATAAAGTAAAATGACAGGAAAGTTCTAGAGGCAAAAATAAAATGTGTGTCACATACATGAGTGTGGTGTGTTGTGTGTTTTACAGTTGAGGAGGAGTCTCCTTGTCCCTCACATGGCACGGTGGCATGGACCATTCACGCCAGCTGGCTGTATCCCCTGTCAGAGGCAGGGCTGGCTGTGGGTGGCAGCTGCACTCTGCCACCTGGGCTTTTACATCCACTCCTCCTTGGGCCGCTGCTCCCACAACACGTGATGTTCTGGCTTTAGCCAAACAGCTTCCTTCTTCCTTCTTGTTGAAACTGGTAGAAACCAAGAAAGAAAGCAGTCTCAGGCAGTTGGCAAGTAGTAAGTATTGGGACTGAGAAGTATTTGGAAGCTTTGTGCTGGCACGCCAATTGCATTGAGGCAGCCCCAGCCCCACCAATTCTTGCTCACAGTCCCCATGCTTTTTGGCATCATGCCTCATCACTACTGCTCCCCTGAGTGCTTCCAGATGCCCTCCACCAGGGGCTTCTCAGACTGAGAGCATCAGACTGCTGCCTCCCTACCAATGCTACTCAGAACCATAGTGCATTACATAAAACAGAAAAGCGGAGCTGCCCTGTGGGGTTAAGGGGCGGGAGCAGGGTAGATATGAGGCTGTGGATCCAAACCCCAGTGCAGCTCCAGGGAAGCCCCATTTGAAAATAGCCGCATAAGGCTAGTGATTAGAAACGCCAGCTCTAAAGCACAGGGAAGAAGAGGAGGATTGTAATCTGGAGAGGGTCAAGCTCTTCTAGGCAAGGCCAACCAGCTATTGTGATTAAAGTAAGTGTGTGTGTGTGTGTGTGTGTGTGTGTGTGAAGGGCGTGATATCGAACTGCTGGAGCTCCCCCTGCATTGCCAGAGCAGCTTTTTTTTTTTTTAGATTTGTCCTCCAGAATCTTAGGGCTCCTCAGGGCACAATTTGAAAATCACAGAATTGTCTAGTCTCTTTTAATCCTGATACTCTGCAGACTGTTATCATCCCCACACAACGAAAGGTGAATCTGAGGCCAAAGCCCCACAGGTAGGAAGTGGCTGAGTCAGGAATGCTCCTTCCAAAGACAACTTTATTATCCTTCAGTAGAGATGCATACGCTGCGGCAGCTTGAAGTAGGGAGGCTTCTGGAAACTGTGGGGATGAACCAAAAATGAATCCTTTCCCATGCTGGGGAAGCCCACTCTGGCACAGAAACAAAACAAATTATAGCTGTTGGGGAAACAGGCCAAACACGGCTGACTGAGCCAGAAGTGGGGTTATTGCTCATCTCCTGGGATCCCATTGTGTGTAGGTCGCTTGTCCTCCCCACACCGAGCTCTGGGTCTCCTCACTCGCGTGCCAGCTGGGAGGCCCACAGGCTGCCAGGCATCTGGTAGAAACACACCAGAGCAGCCGCAGCTTCAGGTCTTCCCTCCCTGCCTTGCCGTCCAGCCCCCGGGTGAAGGAGAGGGGGCTGGCCACGGGAGAGACCAGAAAACGAAGGGAAGAAACGGAAGCTGGTTGCCAGAGAAAGCGATGGTTGGTGGGACTAGTGTCATATGTCAAGTTGGAGGAGCAAAGGCCAGTGGGGAGATGGCTGTGGCCTTTGTTGAAAGGTCTGCCTGGGAGCCAGGTTTCAATTTCTGGCTCTCTTTAGACAGGACCCGTTTCTCTAATAGCTCATTGAAAGGTGAGAGAAAAAGGAAAGAGCACACAAATGACCCCTTTAAAAATATGACAAAACCTAAAATGTCTTTGGAAATTTCAAGAAGTCCTTGAACAGAATCATAATTTCATTTTTATTTTTTCTTTCCCTGAGGAAATTCAGCATGGACCTGTCTCCCTCTTGTGGAATTAATTTTGCCTCTTGGTTGTAGAGAGTTTACTAAAATAAAAGGAAAACTTATGGGGACTTCTTGTTACCTTATCTCTCCATTGTCTTTCTTTGTGCAAGAAAAGACAGCAGTACTGTAATTATCAAAGAAAAAACTTTACTTTTCTGAAATGAACAAGTATTTAGAAATGAACTTTTAATCTAACACTTTATAGTACCAAAATTCTGCCTGTAAAACCTAGTGCTTAAAGATTTAGTTTTACTTAATTCTTCAATGTTAGACAGAATATCCTCTCCATTTTATGGTTAAGTGTCGACAAAAAGAGTCAAATTCTGTAAAATATTTGAAGACATTTATTCTGAGTCAGATATGAGTGACCATGGCCCATGACAGCCCTCAGGAGGTCCTGAGAACATGTGCCCAAGGTTGTCGGGGTGCAGCTTGGGTTTCATACATTTTCTGGGAGGCAAGAGACCAGTCAAACACATTTAAGAAATACATTGGTTTGGTCCAGAAAGGCGGAACAACTCAAAGGTGGTGGGGGTTGGTGGGGGGCGGGGGGGTCCAGTTAATAGGTAGATTTTAAAATTTTCTGGTTGACAATTGGTTGAGCTTATCTAGACCTGGGATCAACAGAAAGGAAATGTCTGGGTTGTAATAAGAGGTTGTGGAGATCAAAGTTTTATCATGCAGATGAAGCCTCCAGGCAGCCAGCTTCAGAGAGAATGAATTGTAAATGCTTTTAATTTTTTTGAGACCGAGTCTTACTCTGTCGCCCAGGCTGAAGTGCAGTGGCCCGATCTGGGCTCACCACAACCTCTTCCTCCCGGGTTCAAGCGATTCTCCTGCCTCAGCCTCCCGAGTAGCTGGGACTACAGGAGAAAGCCACCATGCCCGGCTAATTTTTTTTTTGTATTTTTAGTAGAGGCAGGGTTTCACTATGTTGGCCAGGCTGGTCTCGAGCGCCTGACCTTGTGATCCGCCTGCCTCAGCCTCCTAAAGTGCTGGGATGACAGGTGTGAGCCACCGTGCCTGGCCTGTAAATGCTTCTTACCAGACTTAAGGTCTGAGTTGATGTTGATGCCGGTGAGTTATAATGAATGCTGTCCAGCCCCCACTTCCTGTCCTGGCCTGAACCAGTCTCTCAGGTTAAACTTTAAGAGCACCCTGGCCGAGAAGGAAGTCCATTCAGATGGTTGGGGGCTGGGGGGGGTGCTTATAATTTTATTTTTGGTTTACATAAGGAAGGTAAAAGAAGGGCCATAACAAAACGAAATTTATTTTTCTTCAGCCAAACTCCAAAGTTCTTTGCAGAATTGTTAGCAACAATGGTACAAGACAACAACAGCTTGTTACAGAAGGTAGCTAGTCTGGCATCAGCAAGGCAGGACGAGGCATCTCCACTCATCAGGAATGTCAGGTGACCATCGGATGACGTTCAGGCAGTTGTAACACTACCTCTCTAATATAATAATTGGTTGCAGCCAGCGCTGCAGGGAGAGGCAGTTTCCCTGTACATAAAAACCCCTGAAACTGGTAATGGGCAGCTTTCGGCAATTGGGCACTGGTCTCGAGCATGCACATTAAGAAGCAAAATGGTGGAGTACCACCTTCCCGGCTTTCCACTGGAAAAGGGAGGAATGCCTCGGGTGAGCATGCATACAACTCCAGTAAACACGCCACGTGCTCACCTCCTAGGCGCCAGTAGGCTACCTCGCATGTGGGCAGCTCACTTTAAGGGAAGAATCAAGGGAAAAGGGGCTCACAACGCCAGAAGTGAAATGCGTATGAAATCCTAGGTTCAAGGTCAAATGGGTCAGTTGACCTCCAAGTTGCCGCTTTGGTCTCTTCCAAGTGTACTTTCCTTCCTTCTCTAAAGCTTTTTAGTAAACTTCCGCTCCTGCTCTGAAACTTGCTTCAGTCTCTTTTTCTGCCTTGGGCCCCTCAGTTGAATTCTTTCTTCTGAGGAGTGAAGAATTGAGGTTGCTACAGACCCATAGGGATTTGCCACCCGTAACGCGGATAACTTCCAGCAGTAACAAGCTGATATTTATTATCATTTGCTTTTCGCAAAGCGTTAGGCCAAACACTACACCTAAATTATTGATAAGGCTCTGGTGAGTGGAGGAACACCAGGGCTCTTGTCTCACATCGAATTAGATAAGACGATGCGGACACACGTGGAGCGGTTTTAAGGAGCGGAGAATTTAATAGGCAAGAAGGATTAAGAAGGAAGGGAGAAGGAAGAAGCGCCCCTGTACAGAGACAGAAGGAGGGGGACTCCAAAGCCAAGAGAGGGAACCGCACCTGCCACAGAAACCAGTCAGGTTTATGAAGAGGCTGGAGGAGGCGATGTTTGATTTGCGTAGGGTTCGGGGGTTGGTTTGACAAAGCATGTCATTCACGTAGCCCGTGAAAAAAATGGCCCTCCTACCCTAGCCTTCTAATATGCAAATGATGCAGGGCACCACGATGTTCTACATACGTGGGGATATGTGGGGGCAGCCATGTTGGCAGGCACATGTGGGGCAAGGGCAAGAAGGCTGCAGGAGTCACCATGTTGGGTGGACCCAATTTCTAACGGCTGGCATTCGCTTATGGAAGGTTGCCAGCCTGACCATGTTGGGTGGACCCCTTCTAAGGGCCAGCATTTGTATATCAAATGTTGCTGGCCTGGCTGTAAGAGCTGGGGCTTTACAAGAGACTTTTCCGAAGATGCTTTTGAAAATGAAAACTTTCCAAGGACCCCTTTTCCTCTCTATTTGCCTAAAATAATTTCTTAATAACTCCTACAACATTATCTTACTTTTTGCAATAAAATTACTAGTCTAATTTTACTAGGAAACTGAGGCTTAAAGAGGTTAAGCAACTTGCTTGAGGTCACATAAGCAATTGCTGAGGTTTAAGTTGGATTAATATCAGTGATCCTAAATGGAGACTTAGGAACAAAGAATAACAGAAGCACATATTAAATTGCTCTCTCAAATTCTGGCCTTCAGGAGATGAGCTGAGAGAGACGTAAATAATCCATAGGGTTTTTTTTCCCCCCTTCTGTGATATTTTGAAAAATAATCAGCCTGTATGTGGCGTGGCTTGTATTTCATAATTATTTGCAAGGTTAAATTAAACATTTAAACAGAATACTTTGGATAACACAGAGAAATTACTCATGCTACAAGACGGGCGTTGGGACTCCCCTGTTAGGAGGTGTGGAAAATGCCTCTTGTCAGGATTGTTCCATTACTGCTTCTAGCCACACCCATTCCATTGGGTGCCGGTTGCTAGTAAGACAGATATTACAAACCAGCATGATCAGGACATGACAAAGCCACATTGCTGATCCTAAAACCCCTGGGGCTAGACAACAAGAAAGGATAAGGTAACAGAGGCACATATGAAACAAGTCCGTCTTTTAAATACTTACTATGGTGTCTTTGTCAATTTCCTATAAAATGTGTTTCTGTTATCTTTGAACCAAATTTAGGTCTGCATACAAGACAGAATAAATAGATGCTGTTAGTGACCTCCATCGGACTGTGGAACCTTGACTGCTTTGGTGATTCTTTTTCCCAGGAATTTGGCTGTGAGTCAAAGGGAGCCATTCCTGTGACATCACCAACTCATCTTCTCTATAGCACTCTTCTTCTTCTGGGGACTGTTTGGTACAATGGAGAAGAAAACACAGGGTCCAGTTGTTGATTTTTCTGAGCCAAAATAGCTGTTATTAATTGCCAGGAAGGCAACATGAACAGAGCAATTCCAGAGGGGTTGGTGAAAGAGGCATCTTTAAGCATGTAGATGAAAATGACAGCCTGGGCCAGGCACGGTGGCTCGCACCTATAAGCCCAGCACTTTGGGAGGCTGAGGTGGGTGGATCACTTGAGGTCAGGAGTTTGAGACCAGTCTGGCCAACTTGATGAAATCTCATCTCTACTAAAAGTACAAAAAAATTAGCTGGGCGAGGTGGCGACATGTGCCTATAATCCCAGCTACTCGGGAGGCTGAGGCAGAAGAATTGCTTGAACCTGGGAGACGGAGGTTGCACTGAACTGAGATGGCACCACTGCACTCCAACCTGGGCAATAGAGTGAGACTCCATCTCAAAAAAGAAAAAAAATGAAATAAAAAAAAAAAAGAAAATGGCATCTCTGAGATAGAAGTTCACATCGATTCAGTATAAATATTGTGTTAAAGGGGTTTAGTTTTAGTCAATAGGCTTGAACACAATATATCAGGAGGATGCTTTTGGCACAAGAAACAAAAAATCCAAACTCACCTGGTTTAATAAGAAGGGCAATTTATTTTTCCTAAGAAAAAATAAGTGCTCAGGTAGCTCAGTTGTTTAATTCAGAGGTGAAAGGATGTCATGAAGGATTCCATTTTTTTTTTCTGTGTGTTCACTCTGCCATCTCATCTTGGCAGTGTCATCTCCTCGCTTCCCATACTCATAGACACAAGACAGCTGGCACAGCACCAAGTGTTGTGTGCAGACATGAAAACGTCTAGAAGAAGAAGGGAGTCTCTCTTCTTTGAGCTTTTTTTTTCCTTTCAAGAGTAAAGAAACCACTTTTTAACCCCCACCCCCAACCCCGAGCAAATATTTGCTCATAGCCTGTTGGTCAGAACTGGATCACATGCACATGCTTAAAATGTGCCAGCAAGGAAAATTGCACCACCACAATTGGCTTAGACCAATCAAGATTGATCCCTGAATCACATGGGAGGAGAGTAGTCTCAGGAATAAAATAAGACCTCTGACATTATTTTTAAAAAGGAGCAGAGTAGGGGATGGCTATTGTGTTGGCAATCAAAAGTACCTGTTTTATGGTTTGGGATATGTGAGTACATGTACATATGTTTTCTTTTTTGAAAGGTCCTTTCTTTTGGGGATTCTATTTATAATCTAGACCCCTTCTCAACAATTTGGAATGTAACTTGGCAGAAATAACCACCCGCAACACCTATAGGAACTTTGAATGAAACACCTCTTAGTTAAAAAAAAAAAAAAAAAGACAGAAAAGAAACAAACCTCGTAAGAGTACAACTTTCTTGGCATTAGGAAATTATAAAGAATAAACAGTGTTTATTACTGACACTTTACATTCATTCTAACAATGGGCCTTCCCTAAGCAACTTTGCCAGCAGTCTCCAGACCAAAAAAGAGAAGAAAGCCCATTACATCTTTATTCCAAAATACGTGTTTTGAATAATGTTCTCTAACTATAAAAACAATTTTATGTAATCCAAAAAATGAATATTTATCACACTACGTATGTGTGCATGTATGCATGTGTGTGTGTGTGGAGAGAGAGAGGGAGGGAGGGAGAAGGGGGCAGAGGAAGTGGGGGAGAGGACAAAGTGGGGGAAGAAGATGGTATATTGTTTAGGAAAAGTGCTTAATAAGTCTCTAATATACAGACAATGAGGCTCCAGGGAACATTTAGAAGGAAACAGCAGAGACAGTGAAATTGCCTTCCACGTGAAATGAATAAGAGTGTAGCTTTGGGAAGAGAAGAGAAGGGAGGAAAGAGAGACAATGAGAGGAGAGGCGAGCAGAGCAGCCAGCCAGAAAGCTATTGCCTGAATTCAATACGAGAGATTCCTACAGTAGGGCAGGTAGAGAACTTTTACAAACAATTTCATTTGAACTTGTGTTCCTGATATGTGATCTTCTTGGATACCCCAACTCTGTGTTGTGTTGCCTCATGCCCTAAGGTTTCACGAGTTTTGGGAAAATAAAAATGGCTGAATTCCACGCCTGCGTCAAGGTGGAAGAAGAGGGTCGAGAAGTGCCATGGATGATGACGTTTTCATGAGGTCAAGTTTAATAGAAGAAACCTGGTACCACAAGTGACAGTGATAAAGTACATCCCAGGATGCACAGGGATTTTGGAGACGACCTCAAGCTCCCCGTGAAATTTGGAAAGGTGTGAAAACAATTGTATTTAAATCTTAAAGGCAGGAGGCATCAGCTGACACCTGGGTTGCATTGATACAATTAAAAATAAATACCTTGTCACTGCGCAGCTTTATGTACTTCCCCCCACATATCATAAGCATTTTCATGTTTTTGAAAATATATTCTGTCTAAATCTGAATTCTTAAAAACTGTACTATGATTTATATCCTATTCCCATTCAAAGACATAAAATGAAATTTTATAGGCCTGCTACTTTGGATGATAATGGAAGATATTTGTGCAGTTGTTATAAATTCATTTGGGTAGGTTTGGACAAATATTTAATTTTTATTGTGTACCTATAAATAACTAAATGCTGAAATAGCCAATGAGTTGTCCTCTTAAATTTTAAGTAGTAAAATTGCATAAAATGTGCCAAAGCCTCAAAATAAATGTTTTGTGCTGAGTTTAAATGATGTAGACAATTAAAACAGATTCGTGTGGTTGTTTTCCTTCTTTAAAATTGATTTTCCTCTTACTCCTGCATTATTCTTCAACTCTTAGATGTAAGGGTGAAGACACAGACTGAGTCTTCCTTATGCCATGAGGCTAGTTTATTTCTTTGTTTATTTTAGTTTTTTATTTAAAACAGTTTTTATGGGTACACAGTAGGTGTATACATTTATGGATATGAGAGATTTTGATACAAGCATACAATGTGTAATAATCATATCAGGGTCAATGGGGTATCTAGCTTACTTCTTTGTTTTTTCAAAACTGAGTATGGATGGATTTTCCTGGCACATAAAAACTCTTCATTTGTTTTTAAGACAAAATATTGATCGTGAATATCAGCTGTTAATACAAGCAGATGCATGGACCTGTGATACCAGGTATGAAAGCATCAAGCAGAGCACTTGGGTAGTGGAAGTAGAGATTTTTTCTTTTCATTTATTTTCATGTTCTAACTGTTCTATAATTTCAGTTATAAGACAAAATTTAAATTTTAAGGGCCCTCTTATGAAAGACTTTGCTATTATCCTATAAATACATCAGTGTTCCTGACCTTTGACCTTTTCAACCCACTAAAAAATGCTAAGGTTGTTTAATATTTTGGATGTGTGAGATGACACTGATGAGCTTTTGCTGGAAGCCCTCTCCCTCACCCCGTCTTCTGTGTCAGTCCTGTTAATGATGTGACTTGATGTGCTGTTATCGTAACCCTGGGGAGAAAGCGCAGCTGGGCACTTCTTTCTCAGGAACAAGAGCGGCCTTCCCTAACGGCTGTAAGAAGATATGGAGTCATCTAAGAGAAGTGCGGAGATAAAGAAACATCCTCCCTTACTCTAAACAACAATGGGTGCCTGTACGGCTGTGGGCAGCATGTATGTGCAGTGTCTTTCACTAGGGAAAATTGTAATTAGAGCCACTGTTGCTCTGGGCGATAGTGAGCCATTATTGCCCTTTTCCCAAGCTTGCAGGTGGACAGAATTACGTTGCCTTAATAATGAGCCTCTTAAGTGCCAGCTGTCATATAGCATGGCAGTCCTATATGCTAACAAAGCCTTCATTAAAGGGTTTGCTCCCAATCATTTGCCTGCTCTTTTTGCCTTTCTAGACACTGACAACTTGGCCCCTCCACCCCTGCCTCCAGACCTTCCGTGGACACGCTTAATCACTGCAAGAGCAGCCTGTGCCGTGCTTGGTGAGATGGTAATTTTTTTAATCCTACGTGTCTTCATATTATTTTTATGCCTTATTTCAAAAGTTTTTAAACGAGGTTGGTAGCTTACATTCTGAGCTATCATTCATTCCATGGCAAAATAATAATTGCTAATTTTCTTCTTCAGAGAACCAGAGCTTTATCAGGAATAACATTATGCAAATGACTATGCAAATGCCAACCAGAAGAGTACAGTATCTGGAAAAAAAGTTCAGATAAAACCTTCAGAACACATCCAAAGTTGGCTGGAAAAAAGAACTGAACATTTTAAACTATAAGGTCACCATGGTAGCAAAGGGAATTTATTACTAATAAGAATTTTGCAAGAAAGCTCTGCACTTAAAATAAAAGAGGTAGGGCATGCATTCATATTTATTCTAGCTTAATTTATTTATGACATTATGGTTGTCTTTGCCAACTGTTAAGTCCCCTTGGGGTGGGACTCTTCATCCTTTGTGTGGTGTCTAATGGTTCAAAACGCTTCGTGTTCAACCTTCTGAGGCTTAAAAAAATAATCCTCTATTTTTTCTACTTTCTATATATTTTCTTATCATTAGTATTTTTAACTTTCTCATGCTAAATCTTATTGGAAGAAAGTTCATGGAAATACTACAGAGAAAAATGCTCAATTTTTTCAAAACATAACTTTTAAGGTATTGGTAAGGAAATTGTGTCTTTTGGGGAGACTGAGGCGGGCAGATCACGAGGTCAGGAGTTTGAGACCAGCCTGACGAACATGGTGAAATACCGTCTCTACTAAAAATACAAAAAT